AGAGATAGAAAGCGAGAAATCACCCCCCAGTGGACATGGCCACCCTGCAATCCCTTCTCCTCCATTCTTCTCTTGGGATTTTGGGCATGCACACACACGCACCTGGCGTGAGTTTAAACCACTGGGTCCGGGACTCGAACTGCGGTTGACTACATGGGAGTTCAGGGACATAGCCATTATGCTAACAGCTGGTCCCCATGAACATAATTTCTATTTTTTGTTATTTTAGTCTTACAGAAATAGGAGGAACTTGAATTCTTGTGATTAGACACATTTTTTTTTTTTAATTTGCTATAGGGCACATGCACTTGTTGAGAGAGAGAAAGTGATAAATCACCCCTGAGGGATGGCCATGCCGCAACCTCTTCTCCTCCACTTCTCCACTCACAATTTCAGGCATGCATGCACATGTGCATGGCATGTTTTTCTAGCTGTAGGACAGGTGACATTAGGACACGTCCTCATACACCAGAGCAGGAGAGAAGTCCAGTGATCCAGCTGCTGAAGGAGAGTGGCTGGGGGGGGTTCTGATGTTTTTTTTTTTTGAGGGATTTTTTTCTATAGAGTCAGAGAGACAGCAACAAAGATAGAAAACGAAAAATTACTCACCAGGGGGATGGCCACACTGCAGTCTCTTCTCCTCCATTCTCTTCTTGGGATTTTGGGCACACACATACACGTTCCCTCCATGAGTTTTAAGCCACCAGGTCTGGAACTCAAACCATGGCCGACTACACAGGAGTCCAGCAACATAACCATTACACCATCTGCTGGTCCCAAGACAGATTCTTTCTAAGGGAAAGGGAAGATTAACATCTGTTCAGTAATGGTTCCTTTTTGTTTAAGTTTATTTATCTTCCATGAGTGAGAGAGACAGAGAGAGATTTTGCACCTTCAACAGAGTATTGATCCCAGGATGCACCCCCAGCCTCAACTAGCCCCAGATTGTGGGCTCATGCATACCCCCATGGAATGGTTTCCAAAAACATTCAGTCAGGGGCTAGCAGATGGCATAGTGGGTAAGGTGCTAGACTTCCACATGACCAACTGTGGTTCAAGTCCCAGATCCAGTGGCTTGAAACTCATGCCAGGTGCATGTGCGTATGTGCCCAAAATCCCAAGAGGAGAATGGAGGAGAAGGGATTGCAGCATGGCCATCCTCCCAAGGGGGAAGGAATTTTTCACTCTCTCTCTCTCTCTCTCTCTCTCTCTGGTAAGCACATGGGCCCTATAAGCAAAAATATCTCTCTCAAAAAAAAAAAAAAAAACTGCAATCAGCCATGTGCGATCTAGCTATCTTAATCACCATGCAACTGGCTGGTCCCAAGAACTGTAAATTTTTAAAGCAAGAATGTTGCTCTTTCAAGCTAGATTAATGAGGAAAGATACAATAATCACTAATATAAGGAATTGTGAAACCTCATTAATTTGTATGCCACTGATCTAACATTCTAAAAAAAAAAAAAAACTGCAATCAGCCATGTGCGATCTAGCTATCTTAATCACCATGCAACTGGCTGGTCCCAAGAACTGTAAATTTTTAAAGCAAGAATGTTGCTCTTTCAAGCTAGATTAATGAGGAAAGATACAATAATCACTAATATAAGGAATTGTGAAACCTCATTAATTTGTATGCCACTGATCTAACATTCTAATAACTTAAGGCTTACTAAGCATATTAATCATATAAATAACATTATTATGGGGATATTTCAACTCTTTACCAAAAGAAGCTACATTTTTTTTTTTAAGAGAGAGAGGTTTTTGCTATAGGGCGCATGCGCTTGCCAGAAAGACGGAGAGAGACAGAGAGATAGAAAGCAAGAAACCACCCCCAAGGGGGGATTATCACACCACAATCCCTTCTCCATTTTCCTCTCGGGATCTTGGGCATGCATGCACATGCATTCAGTGTGAATATAAGCCACGGGATCTGGGACTCAAACTGCTGTCGACTACATGGGAGTCCAGCGACATAGCCATTACACCATCTGCTGGTCCCCCCCCAAAATGCTACTTTTAAGCCTGCTGAAATATCTACTAAGTGTAACAGCTAACACTGAGCACTTAAAATCTTCCTGGCACTCTTTATTTTCTCATTTCATTTTCACAGGAACTCTGAGAGATAGGTATTATCAAACCCATTTTTGAAATGAGGAAACTGGAGCTCACAGAAGTTAAGGAACTTGCTTAGTATCAACCAGCAGGTGAGCAGACGAGGCAGGGCTCTGATCCAGGTCTGAGCGATGCTAAAACCCATGTATAGAACACCTGTGCTCTACGTGGTCTTCCACGATCTACTCAGGTATGCAGAGCAGGGCCTAAAAATTTCCTACGAGGTTCCCCTTCATGAATATAGGTCCAGTCATATAATAAAATGAAATCTTTCCAAAATTTCATAATGCGGGCTTCACTAATTTAGACTGACTCCTCCCTACACATGCCTACTAGTTGGAACTAGTGACATTTTACCATATGCTTTAGTGAATGTCCTTATAGAGGGGGTCATGACAAAAGCTAAACTCTAACTTGGGCAAGATGACAACTGCCATTGTCAGGGCTACACAGCAACAGGTAGTGGGATGGGGTGTCCTGCAGGGGTGCAAGTTAGGTAGATTTCAGGTGCCGCCTCACAGTGGTTTTAAGCCTTGGAACCCAGAGGCCAAAGTCAGGGAGTCACTGGGAGGCAGAATCCTGGGAGCAGAGAAGTGAGTTGGGGCAGTGTGGTGGGGATCAGTGGAAAGAGAAGGGGCAAGGATTTTGAGAGTGGAAGCAAAAAAAAAGCTGCAAGGATGAAAAAGGAGGAACATGAAGCCAGCAGGAAACAGGTGGCCCAGAGATAAAGGGCAGGTGACTTAAGTAATGATCTCATAGGGAGTGAGGAAGCTGGATGGATGAGAACACTGGGGCCACAGTGGTTCAGAAGTGGATGTGAGGACTAGTTCGTGAAGTAAGAGACTTGATCACTAGTCGAATACTGTCTACATTATGGTATTAATAATAGCAATGCCAGCTCCTATTTATTGATCCCCCTACCATGTGCCTGACACTGCCTAGTGCTTTACATGCACCATCTCATTTCATTCTAACAGTCCCATGAAGCAGGTACTATTCCCATTTTCTAAATAAGAAAACTGAAGCTCAAGATGAGGTAAATTGTGGGACCAGCAGTTAGCGTAATGGCTATGTCGCTGGACTCCCATGTAGTTAACCACAGTTCAAGTCCCAGACCCCGTGGCTTAAAAAGCAGTTCAAGTCCCAGACCCAGTGGCTTAAAACGCATGGCGGGCGCGTGTGCGTATGTGCCCAAGATCCCGAGAGGAGAATGGAGGAGAAGGGATTGCGGCGTGGCCGTCCCCCCTGGGGAGGGGGTGATTTCTCGCTTTCTGTCTCTCTGTCTCTGTCTGTCTGGTGAGCGCATGTGCAGCTGTGAAGAGATGCCCCCCTCACAGTGCATAAGTAGTCTCCGTTTCTTTTTATTGCCATAGGACTTATGTACAAGAGAGAGAGAGAGAGAATGAGACAGTGAGAGAGAACACTCCCCAATGGGGCATGGTCATGCCACAATCCTTTCTCCTCCCTTTCTCTCTTTCGTCAGGATTTTGAACACACATGTACATAAGCCCAGCATGTTTATTTTCAAACTTCCAGGGATGGGATTTGAACCATAGTCAGCCATGTGAGATCTAGCTTCCGGTGCACAGAGCTTAACCACTAATCTATGGGGCCAGCCCAGTAGTGATGACTTAATACATAGATGATCTCTTGAAAAGTCAATACATGCGATCATAAAATTCTTCTTGTAAAGGACAAAAAAGTTACTTCCATGCATACAGCAAATGGGTGATAACAGGGTTCAGTCTGGATAGTTCTGGGAGTGGTCAAGTCCATGGGATGGTCAAAGGAGGGGATGGCCAAAGTGGTGTAAAGGTGAGGATCACTGAAGTAAAAGTTCAGAAACTGGGTATGAGATGGGTTAAGTTACCTAAGACGAGGGTGAGGCTGGGAGAGGACAAGCCACCAGATGTTACAATCTTCACTGGATATAAACGAGTGGCCGGGAAGTCAGTAGATGACCTCAGGACGCTAGATGAGTGCTCCTGGCATGAACGTGAAAGAGTCAGGATCTGGTCACAGCAGCAGAGAGCTCGAAGAATGCCATCATCACTCTGCTCCCCACCCTGTGACACTAGTGATGCAGATCGTGAGCATCCCCCAATAGGGGCTTCATGGGAGAAGTTAAGATCAGTTAAGACAAGGAAGCATGAGAGCACTACAGAAAGGTTAAGGGCTGGGCAGTGTGTGTAGCGTGTCCAGAGGGCACAGGCTGGGAGGGAATGAAGTATGAAAGTGAGTCCCAAATGCCCACTTCTTTCCAAGCAAAATAAACCACAAATATGTGAACAGGGCATCAGGATTCTGTTGTGTGTCAATACTCAGGCAAAGCTTGATAGCCACTCTTTGCCACCATCTTGGCCAGGAGCATAACATGCAGAGTCCGGACTGGAGACCCTGTCTACTTTGACTAGGACATTTATTTCCTGGTGCTTAAATTGCCTCCTCCCACCTGTTCCCTGCCAGGCTCAGAGTCCCTATCTTCCCTACAATGGAGGAGTAGATGTCCAATTCTCAGGAGTGGTGGACTGCTTCCGGCAGATAGTGAAAACCCATGGGGTCCTTGGGCTCTGGAATGGATTGACAGCCAACTTGCTGGGCAGTGTGTGTAGCGTGTCCAGAGGGCACAGGCTGGGAGGGAATGAAGTATGAAAGTGAGTCCCAAATGCCCACTTCTTTCCAAGCAAAATAAACCACAAATATGTGAACAGGGCATCAGGATTCTGTTGTGTGTCAATACTCAGGCAAAGCTTGATAGCCACTCTTTGCCACCATCTTGGCCAGGAGCATAACATGCAGAGTCCGGACTGGAGACCCTGTCTACTTTGACTAGGACATTTATTTCCTGGTGCTTAAATTGCCTCCTCCCACCTGTTCCCTGCCAGGCTCAGAGTCCCTATCTTCCCTACAATGGAGGAGTAGATGTCCAATTCTCAGGAGTGGTGGACTGCTTCCGGCAGATAGTGAAAACCCATGGGGTCCTTGGGCTCTGGAATGGATTGACAGCCAACTTGTTGAAGGTGAGAAGAATGGCCAGTCTCTGCTTCTCTGCCTGTTCCAATAGCCCTAGAGTTGGGAGTAGAAACAACCCTCTTTGCACTAATTGTAGCACAAGGTTGTGAATGCAGGCTGGCTGTCAGCGCTGAAGAGAAGGGACCCTATACAATGGTAGGGTATGTACCCTACCGCAGAGAAGCTAAGCATTTAGCATAGAGGCTCCCAATGTGGGGGATTCATGGACCCCTAAGGGGAACCTAACCCCCATCTTAAAATTGTATATAAAAAGGTGTGTGTATACCTGTGTGCATCATATGAAGAGACTTAAGAAAGTTTCAAGAAAAATTAAAGTATGAGTTTGTTTTTATGCAAAAAATTCTTTGAAATCCAGGCATAGATTTTTCGTCATGATCATTCTTCATGAACTTTTTTAATATTCCTCATATTCTCAAAAAACTCCATGACCAAAAATGTGGTTAACTGGACTATGGGGCCAGCCAGTGGCATGGTGGTTAAGGGCACTGGACTCTCACATGGCCCACTGCAACTCAAGTCCTGGACCTGGCAGCTTGCTTTCTCACTTTCCCTCTCTCTCTGTCTTCCTCTCTCACTCTGATTAAATAAAAATCAATAAATAAAGGGTTTTTTTAAAGAAAAAAAAAAGAATTCTGGGGACCAGCAGTTAGTGTAATGGCTATGTCGCTGAACTCCCACGTAGTCGCACGCAGTTCGAGTCCCGG